TCGATACCAGCGATTATCCTATACAGCCACGCTGATGACATCACGACATTCATCATGGCGCTTTATGTTCCTGCTGTTTTTAAAAGAAAGCGTAACGCACATCGCCACGTCCCTTTTATGGAACGCGAGCCATTTGAATTGAGCCCGTCGGTTGGTGGATGGCAGTATTTCCCTTCCTTTGTTCGAGTGTTTCCCAAATAAATTTCCCTCCCAGGCATTATGGGAAAAATGAGATGCACGGAAGGACAAGGAAGGCACGCTTCTGGACGACATCGCCGAGTGGCTGGCGTCCAGAGAGAACGTGCACAGTCCGTTCAGCACCAGCAGCTGACGTTCTTAGACCTAGAGAATCCGACCCAAATGTGGCGCACCCACCGCAGAGGTGGTGTACCCGACCCAAAGGTGGCGCACCCACCGGAGAGGTGGTATACCCGACCCAAAGGTGGCGCACCTACCGCAGAGGTGGTGTACCTGACCAAAAGGTGGCTCACCCACCGGTGAGGTGGTGTACCCGACCCAAAGGTGGCGCACCCACCGGTGAGGTGGTGTACCCGATCCAAGGGTAGCGCACCCACCGGAGAGGTGGTGTGCCCGACCCAAGGGTAGCACACCCACCACAGAAGTGGCACACCCACCGCAGATGTAAGCTGGGACGCAGTGGACGCCAGGAACGCCCCGATATGCGGCCCGCCTGGTCACGGCAGACCTGCACGATTTGCATGGCGTCCTGTTCAGTTGTGGCTCTCACCACTAGAGGCTTTGAGGCGCTAAGCTATCCGTGCACGCCACTGCACGGACCTTGTTCTGGAGCCCGACGGCACACGAGTGCTCGATTTGGTCAGCCTCGCTAGCGCTGTTCTGGGACTCCGGAAAGGCCCATCGTTTTCCAACACCGCCGGAGTGGTGTCCCACCAGCTCTGGCGTGAGGCGATACCGTCGCTTGTCACATACTGAAGGGGAACTACCGACAGCACAATTTTCATCGACGAACAGAAGACTTCACGGGCTGGGCAAACGTGAGTACCCATGTGGAATGGCAACGAGTTCGACTTGCTACCGATCTGTGAACATAACGGGCGCGAGCACAGGCATGGGTGTGACGTTTACGAAAGATGGAGATGCCTTACGAAATACTACACAGTAGTATTTCTCTGATGTTTTAGCCCTAGTTATATATATTCTCACTACTTTTGCAATTAGCAACGCAAAACAGTTAGTTTGGATGCAAACTTTCCTGACACTCTTCCATAGCTCAAAATTGAAACGCTGGAAGAGTGCAAGCGGGTTGACGACGGGTGGGGGCAACTGATCAGGACCGGACAGTGGGTGGGTGTGGGCATGAATGTAGCTGACCCAGTGCCGGAAAAAGAGCAGCAGCTCCAGAAACAACCATTGGATGACAGAGGGCTGCCACTAAAAGGCAAGCGTGGCGAATGCATTTATACAAAATTATGCAAGCCAGTGCAAGAAGGACAAAAAGGAAGCCGAGGCTCGGAACTCATGGCTATATCGCTCCGCGTGGGAGCAGATATGCTGTTGACATACAATATCGTGAAGGAAATTTTACGCAGACGACTCCAGCGATGCGACTAAGGAACTCATATCACATGGGATTTTGTACAAAATGATATACATATACATATATATATATATATATATATATATATATATACATATACACACGAATTAAATTTCATGAGTTGCATAATGGTTTGAAATCCTTGTTGCGAATTTTTTAGATGTTTTAGATGTGTAGATCTCGTCGAGAGGCACCAAACACCGTTTGTTTATTGCAATCGGCCTAGTAGTTCCCGAGAGCTCAGGCGAGGGGCGGTATCCGTTTGGCGGCCCCATCAATTAGTGGCCCCACTCGGCGCCGTCACGACAGCTCGCCTACACGACCGCAGCTGCAGGCGGGGCCTCGCTATTACGGCGCCGGCCCAGCCGCAGCGCCGCCGGGCTCCTCGATATGCGGCTGCCGTGTTTGTTTAGCCGGCCCCGAACTCGGCATCTCGCCGGCAGACGAGCGGCGCCGAGCGCACTCCGTCCGTATCACCGGGGCGCTCGCAGCGCAGCTCGGCAGCTCGTGACGGTAGTCTGTCGTGCTCGCATTGGCAGCCGATGACGAGCCCCGCCGAGCCTGACGGCGTCGGAGAACGTCCAGGACCTGGGACCTGCGACGGTGTTGGCCGCGTCGCTGGAGGGGCAGTGACATCCGTCGCCGACAGGTGCGGGTGGCCGCGGGTTGTCGCGGCACCCGCGGTCAATTATCTTCAGGGCTAGGGTGAAGAGATGGTGACTGTTTGGGAAGAGGCCACTGGTGATCTGGGAGGGCAGGGTCCATTAACATCCGGCGCGACACTCAAAGGAAGCGTTCCCGCACCCATCAGGGGCAGCCGAGCAAACTATAGGTAAAATCAAGACACGGAATGCAGGGCTGACATTGGCACGCGTGTCAAAATCCGACTCCCGTATAATGCCCACGGCCAAGGTCATGTAGGCATGCAAGTGGCTGAAAACACCAGATGTCCCTGAGGAATTGCGGCGCTAGCTGACTCATTACCCCTCAAGATACCGCTTCGGTCTGATTCCGATTGGCATGTGTTCGGTAATCTGACTCCTGGATGATAGCCGCGGTCCGGTTTGTGTATATTTGTGAGTGCTTTGCAATATCAGATACCGCTGTGGAATTGCGGCGTTATTTCTGATCTGTTTCTTATCAAGTTATCGTCTAACTTGGATTAGTTACGTACAGCAGACTTACGCCAATAGGCAAGTGGAGTTGCGTTATTGTATTGTGCATATTTTTGGCGGTTTACTACGGTAACATTAATTGAATGCGAGCTACCAGAAAACTGTAAGTTTGTATACAAGAATAGCCGTACTAATGTATTAGAAACGCTTACACTTCGATCGCTATTAATTTCTTCGTAGCGCTCGCCAGCCAACTGTTCGGCATCTTCAGCTGTAACTGCGCTGCGACTTCTGCTGCGGCCGTGGGTTTTGCTGTGTTATGCGTAAAATAACATGCGACGGGAATGCGAAACACTCATTTGTGGTCAGAACTTAAATGAGTTTTGGGTACCATTATAACATTACAAAAAGCGATGTGATTGCTTGTGCTTGATTGCCTAATATTGCAATTGCGATTTATTGCTTGGCTATTACTTGATATTGCTTGATTATCTGCCAGGCTCTGAATTTTTATCCCCACATTCCAAACGCAGCTTCTTTGTTCATTTGTTATCGCAGAACGACTCTGTTCTGTTTTTTTGAAACGGCAATTAGGCTATCTCACAGCGGTTTCAACATAACTAGTGATCTCATATTAGTCATATGGTTGCTTCGGTGGCTGTTACGCCGTGCCAGTGCAGCAGAAAAACCTGATGGTCAACCGACCATCGGCTGGGTCCCACAATATACGACACACTGTCGTAAGAGAAGAACGCCCTTTACATAGCCATCCCACCAATTGCCTGGCTTTTAATTCCCGCCGCTATTGAGAAAAGCTTCTCAGTCTTTTCCTGTTGGTGACGCTGATGGATCCAGCGTTTTCCATGAGAGGGGCAGCGCTCATAACCGCCGCCCAGCCTTATTTGATAAGGCTTGCCTCGCCACCTCTGGCACCAAAAACAGAGAACTGCAAATTATTCCGATTTTTTTTCTTCAAAAAGGCCCGAATGCAGTGTACAGCCCTCAAAAACAGACCCTGCTTTTCGATCACAAGGCAGCCGTCACCATAATTCCTGTCCCTCTCCCGTTGTATTACTGCCAAGTTGACGAACAATGTCCCAGAACTGCATCTCGTCGGCGAACACCGAGCGGCTCTCCAGATCTGCCAGCCGAGCTGGCGTGCAGCATGCCGCTCCGGCTGGCGTGCGGCCTGCCGCTCCGGCTGGCGTGCAGCCTGCTCCTCCGGCTGGCGTGCAGCCTGCTACTCCGGCTGGCGTGCAGCCTGCCGCTCCGGGTGGCGTGCGGCCTGCCGCTCCGGCTGGCGTGCAGTCTGCTACTCCGGCTGGCGTGCGGGCTGCCGCTCCGGCTGGCGTGCAGCCTGCTACTCCGGCTGGCGTGCAGTCTGCTACTCCGGCTGGCGTGCGGCCTGCTGCTCCGGCTGGCGTGCAGCCAGCTACTCCGGCTGGCGTGCAGCCTGCTACTCCGGCTGGCGTGCAGCCTGCTACTCCGGCTGGCGTGCGGCCTGCCGCTCCGGCTGGCGTGCAGCCTGCTACTCCGGCTGGCGTGCAGTCTGCTACTCCGGCTGGCGTGCGGCCTGCTGCTCCGGCTGGCGTGCAGCCTGCTACTCCGGCTGGCGTGCAGCCTGCTACTCCGGCTGGCGTGCGGCCTGCCGCTCCGGCGCGCAGCGCATCAGCATGCCTGACGCCCCCAAACGCAAACCGCTCGAGCCTTTCGACGCTTCTGCTGCACGCTGGTTTCTCATTTCCGCAGCAGCTCCTCCCGAACCCATCAGCACCTCTTTATTCCATTTCACCCCATCATGTTTCGAGCTTGACGTCGCGTAACATGACGTCTTCGGCAGCTGGAAAGTTTGGCGGCTGACATGTGCAGGCAGTTTTTACCGACAACATGATGACAGGAGATGGTCCGTCGCACTTCCGGGGAAGGTGGCGTCAGATTGACAAGTAAGTTATGTTCCGTGAGCCACTGTGCCACAAGCCGATTCACCAGGAATGTCATCGCTGACCTCGGGTGCGATGTACACATGTGCAAGACATCATCGTAACTGCGTTACTACGCCTAGCCACAGGGACGTACGCGCGGATTAGAGGGACCGTTCGACAGGGCCGGCACGGTATCGTCCCCCTTCTCAATGCTTATCCCCGGCCCGGGCCATCCCGGACCAGCCTCTCCGGCCACCCGGCTGCGGGACCTTCCCTCGGCGCGCGCGGCCGACTCGTGACGTCAGCATCGCCAGCGGGACGGCCGATGACGTCAGAGCTCTCTCGCCGCGCGGCGGCGGTGACCAGCGGCGGCGGGCTGGCGGGTAGTGTAGTACCGGCGCTGGCTCCCTGACGCAACGTCCTTCCGGCGGAGTTTCACACGGGAGCGCGCATTGATCACGGCCCGTGCGAGCGTAAGGCGCCAGTGACGAGCGGGCTGGCGGCGGTGGCGAAGGCCGGCGCTCCAGCAGCCAGTGAGAGAGTGCCGACCTGTGGAGAGACGCGTGCGCGATGACGAACCCGTGGCGGAGCCTCGCGGTAGCGATGGCGGTGTGGGCGGCGGCGGCGGGCCAGACCGGACGGACGCCTGACCCCTCCAGCTGCCAGCGGTACCTGCCCAGGCCGGGCCAGCCGGCCGTCGAGTGTGACCAGGGTCTCCTGTTCGATGCCGTCTCGCTGACCTGTCTCCCGGCGGCCGAGGCCACGTGTGCGACAGGTGAGTGGGTCCCGACTCAGGCCAGGTCACCACCGGCGATCGCGCCCGCGCGCCTTACCGAACGGATAGATGGACACCAAACAGGCAGGGATACCTGTTAATCAAATAAGGCTGTCATTAGCGCAATATGACTTATGTGGTCCTAAAACCCGAATTAAAAAAGCCTAAAGCCCTGCGCGCCCTTAAAATTTAATTAACAACATAACGTCGCCACGTCTTGTCCGCCCCTTCTCAGCGCGCGAGGAGACTGTCACCGCAGCGCGGCTCCCGTGCGACGTCGCGGGGCAGCCAGGTGACAAGGCCCACCGGCTGCTCCCAGCCTTAGAGAACTGACGGATGTGGCCCCGGATGCCGGACTGCAGGCTTTGGACGGCAGCATCCGGCTCAGAGGCTCGATGCGCGGAATAATCTGACGCTCCTCGCGGGGCTGGGCGGAGCTAGGCTGGCACACCCGTTTCATAATACAACTTTGCATTGCGTTGCTTGGTACGGAGAGCGCCGTACCAAAGTAACAGGCTCGTGGGACAACGAAAGCAGGGGTTCGAGGGCCAGTGTGTCGTCGAGCAATAACCTGCATGGGGGAGGGTCGTCGGACGGAAGTTAGTCTAGAGAAGTTAGACAAAGGCACGTCTCCCGGCAAAGCGAGCACGCAGAAGTTCGCCTGCATGAAGTTGTCCGCAAAAGTTCACATAGGACAAATGCTCGGTAAGAGGAAATGCCACTTGACTGAGTTCGCTTAGGGCAATAGTTCACAGAGGATGAAAGTTGGGCGAGGACACAAATGGTATGGCAGGAGCTCATCCAGTGACGAAGTTCGCACAAGAAAGGAGTCCGTATCGCAGAAGTCCGTCGCGGTCTCGGACTAAGTTTTTTTTTAAAGAGTGACATGCACCTCGTCCTGCACCTGCACCTGCTGTGGGTAAGGGCGTCGAGCGGGCATGGACGTATGCTCAACAACTTCGTTTGCCCGGCCCCAGGATCCGGGTCATAAAGCCTGTTCAGCATGTATAGATTCAACAGGGCTTAGGGCCGTGATATGGTTCAAAAGGCTTCTCTCCTATCATAACGGCTCGATTTGGGACCAACGTATTTTCAGGTAAGCCCTTTGATCACGATTATCTTCCCAATGAGACTTTTGTGAAGGTGGCATGCACATCACGGCCTAAATAGAAGCCAGACATGCTGCTACACATTTTTGCGCCCCGAAGGCATGCAAAATTTTGTTTAAGCCTTTGCCGACTTGAGTGGTGACCTGACTTACGTTTTCTCTAACGTGTTAAAGTACACTCTCACCGGTACTGGCTGATTATTATAGCCCTTTTGATGCAGATGTTCGACCCGACACGCGTGAAACACCTTTGAAGCCTTGAAGGCACGCTTTCCTTTGCGTCTGCGTCAGCCTCGTGAAACACGTTGAAGCCCTAAAGGCGCGCTTTCCTTTGCGTCCGCGTCAGCCGCTGTTTGATCAATGTCCTGACATGTATTTCAAAGTTTCACCCCACCACATTTCCATGCAACTTTCGTTCTAGCCTTTTCCCCTAACTCTAGCTTTTCCAGAACGGGTGCGAGATCACGATTCTTCAAAGCAGCTTTGAGTTTCAACAGGTCTCAACCAACTGAAATTTGGCCTCTTCTGCGCTTTGTCCTCGGTCGCAACGTGATGGACTAATGCAAATCCGAGATAAACGCACCGTGTTTTTTTCTTTCATTGGCCCCACGCCGGAAATCAAAACTTTGCAGAATTGTTAGCACGAGTGAAGAGAACACCTCCCGCAGACCTTGTGTCATATGAAGAGGGGAGCGGGCCGTGACTTACTACATATGTAGCTCAGAAACGATTTTTCGTGCGGCCCAATCATTTCAATCTGCTTTCTCGCTGAAGCTGTGTGGTTCATCCACGTAACACCATAAAGTTGCGGTATCGTAAAGACGACTTTTTCTTTGATTTTTACTTTTTTCACTCTCGCCTCTGAATATCATTATCCGGTGTTTATTCGAAGGTCAGTCGGCACAGCCTGGTCTCGAGCGCACTCGATGATTGGATGAGGAAATCGCATGCATTCATCATCAGTCTGCAGTTACCTTCGCGCTAAGGCCTTAATGGAAGTTACGCCAGTTGTATAACTCCGGTGAATCGTCCCAGTTCGTCATGCCGATAGAACCGACAGGATGCAGCTGCGGCGCTCTCCGGCGCGTATCTGTCTCCCTGGCGGAAGTAAGCGGTCCAGCAGCGACTCACAGCGCGAAAAAAGCTCCGAACGGCAGCCTGCGAACGGACAGCTCCAAGGGCAGGATTGACGCCAGGATTCAGCTTCGAGGGAGCAGCCTCTTGGGTACCGACTCACGGTGCTCACAATGATCACCGTCGCGCCACCTACTGAAGCTGTGAGCCAGCTCCGAAAGACGAGCAGCCGACAGTGGACACTGCTGACGAATAGCCCGGGGGGGGGGGGGAAGCAGCCGACAGTGGACACTGCTGACGGCTAGCCCGGGGGGGGGGGGGGGTCTTGACGGCTAGCGCCGGCGGGGAGGGGGGGAGCAGCCGACAGTGAACACCGCTGACGGCTAGCCCGGGGGGGGGGGGGGAGAGGGGGCTTGACGGCTAGCTCCGGCGGGGAGAGGGAGCAGCCGACAGTAAACACTGCTGACGGCTAGCCGGAAGGGGGAAGCAGCCGACAGTGGACACTGTTGACGGCTAGCTCCGGCGGGAAGGGGGGAGGGGGGAGCAGCCGATAGTCGGCACAGCTGACGGCCGGTCGGCGGACAGGTCTGAGGGGCGGTATCAAAATGGACGGGCTCAGCCGAATTCTAGGAAACGCTCGATCTTGGCTGCGACTGAAACACATACCGAAGTGTGACTAACATCATGCACATCGCAGACACACACGAAAGCCAACCCTGGCGCTCACTCACATTGGATGCTGACGTCAAGTTCAAGTTTATCTTAGTAACAAATCATTTCTACAAAGGGATTTTGATTTGATGCGGGACAATTTGATGGTGTAGTGGGAAAATATAGACGAGGGCGCGACTAAATTTAACTACATTTCAAAAATATACGGCATTATTCATCAAAACGTCATCACACAGCGGCAAGCAAATAGTTCGGATTCTGACCAGGTCTTCTCCGTGGGTGCGAGAGCCGGTGAAGGTCAGTGGCAGGCGGCTCCAGGCCGAGCCTGCGCGCTACAAAAAGACTTCGCGTGCCGCCGGCAGGCGGAGAGCTGTCTGCCAGTTCGAGGGTGCCCACCGCCGCCGCCCGGATGGCCGTCTCGATGCGGCGGTACTGGGACGAATACAGTGGACACTGCGGTGAACGGGCGCCGTGCCTCCAACGGAGCCTGTGCGTCAGCCTGGATCCTGTACATAGCGGAAGTCTGGCACTGTGGGTGATACATTTTACACTACGCCAACCCAGCGCTTAGAGGGTCGATGACATGGAATCTGGGTGACGGACCCCAGTGACGATCTTAGCCTTAAAGTTCAGGATATAGTCCACCAAAAGTCTCGGCGGTGGATCCCTAGGAGCACTTGTGGCCGGCCATTATCCATGTTCCTTCATCCCATTGTCCAGAAATGGCAATTGCTGGCCGAAACAGCTCGAATTCAAAACAAACCAAAGAGAGCTGTCTTTTTGTCAGAAAAATGTCATTTCCGGGTTTGAACAAGCCGCTCTTCATGCATGCAACGAATCTGAAAAAGTTTTGCACGTGTAAAAGGCTTTTGCAGCCTGCCGTGTCTCTGCGTGTGTCTTTGCAGCCTGCTGTGTCTCTGCGTGTGTCTTTTGCAGCCTGCTGTGTCTCTGCGTGAGTATTTTGCGGCTTGCTGTTTTGCAGCGCCCATTAGGTGGGTGCTGCAGAGGGAAAGTAGCGCCGTGCCGACCTCTTGCTCCGGCATACGCGCCAGGAATTAGGGCCGCAGGCTATATGCTGCCAGAGACGAGAAGCAATGACACCTGATCACCATTTATCCTATCCATTTAGGTGTATCGGCTACGGAAATACCGTTACGTTGATGCGCTGGCGGGGGGTCGCTGAACCCATCGTGCACAAACGGGCGCGTGTTTTCGCGTGATCTCGACTTTCCTTATCTAAATCACTCGATTCGCTCTTTGACGTGTGCCCCAGTTTCCTCTCTTCCTTCTCGTGATGTAGCATGCCTGCGCCCTGTGAAGCAGGTGAAGCGGATGCCGGCAACATTATTCTCTTACAGCGCGGAGGAATTCTTAACGTCGCAGCCTGCGCTCTCTGATCGCTACCATTAACAACGCTGCTCTTCTGCTGCGCTTGCAGACTCAGACAGCCCGCAGGCGGCGAACCGCACGGTGGTCCGCAAGTGCTGCCCTGAGCAGCAGCAGTTCAGCCTGACGCTGGGCCAGTGCGTGGACCGCGAGGGGCCGTTTCAGCTGCCGTTCTTCGCCCACGAGCCGTTCGACGCGTCAGCGCCGCTGCCCGTGGACGGCGTGGCGTACCGCATCGTCGCCCAGCAGCTGACGTGCGAGGCGTTCCCCCTGAACACCGACGCGGCTCAGCCGGACGACCTGTTCCTGCTCGACAACGGCATGTTGTACGTGCAGGCGTACCGCACGCTGTACACCACGGAGGCGTACTGCCTGGAGACAATGGTGACGGATGACGCGGGGACTGCGCGGCTCGGCGCCGCCGTCTGCCCGGAGGTGGACGCCCCAGGAGTGCTGCCCCTCAGCGACGACCGCGTGCCGATCCCGCGCTGCTGCGCCCGCTTCGTGCCGTACGACCCGCTCGAGGGGTGCCGCTTTGACGCCGCGCTGCAGGGCGACGAGCCGCTGCCGCCGCTGGACGGAGGCGACCCAGCCGTACGTGCGGCGCTGGACAGCGCCGGCTTCGAGGCCAGCTTCCGCTACGAGATCGTCTTCCCCGAGTGTAACGCCACCGACCGGCTGCTGCTGAGCATGGGGGACCGGCCGTTCTCGATTGGCGGCGACGGCACGCTCACCTTCCGCAACGGCAACGTCTCCGTCTCGCCCGACAGCTACTGCTTCAACGAGCGCGTGACGGGCAGCAGCGACGAGCGCGGCGCGGCCTTGGCGAGTATGGCGATCGTGTGCTCGGACCCGGAGGTGCGCGCAGCTGTGGCGGCGCCGGCGGTGCCCCACTGCGGCGCCGAGCCGTGCCTGCGCAAGTGCTGCCCGCCTGGCCACGAGCTGCTGGTGACGGCGACGGCCAACGGCGCCAGCCAGATGACGTGCGTGCTGGGCGGCGCGCCGCTGGAGCTGCCGCGGATCGGCGCCGTGGCGCCGGCGCTGTACGGCGCGCCGATCGTCTACGGCCAGCCGGCGTGCCCGGGCGGCCTGTTCGAGGTGGAGGAGGGCAACTACTCAGTGCTAGCCAGCGGCGCCTTCCGCCTGATCGAGTACGACGAGTACGCCTGCAACAACAGCGCGAAATTTGACGCCAACTCGTCTGCCTACTGTCTGGATACGAAGCGCGGCAGCAATCGCTCCGCGCACGCCTTCTACTGCTACAAGGAAATCGAGGAGGACGACACGAGCGCCGCCTACGTCTTCTTTCCCATTTTGATGGGCATCACCGACTTTTTCCTGCTGGTGACGTTCATCGTGTACCTCACGGTGCCGGATCCCACGCAGACGGGGCTGAACAAAAAGCGGAAGCTGTCCCAGAGCGTGCTGGGCATGATCCTGCTGGCGTACATCAGCTCGCTCTTCTTCGCGTACCTGGTGCTGATGATCGTGCAGACGGCCACCAGCATGCTGGCCCAGTACCGCGTCGTCTGTAAGGTGCTCGGTGAGTAAGGCTCGAAGTGCCCCGCGCTGCAGTCCGTCAGTGTGCCGGTAACGTCGACGGCGTTTTCTGCTGTTGTTGGCATCTGTCAACTCCCTGTTTTGCTGGTCCATGCGCTGCACTTTCGTGCTATCGAATGCATCGCGTTTGTTTATACGGCCTGAGACATGTACCATGTTTGTTTGTTTCTGTCGGCGGCGTCCGGTCGCGAATCCTTAGCCAGAACGTACACAAAATGCTCGGCTGCTGATTTTATATCGCGTGGGGAAGACGTCGCTAATGTATCTCACACCGACACGACTGTCCGATAACGCGACATGGCTGTCGGCAGCTGTCATCCTGTATTTCTTCCTGCTGACCGCCTTCTTCTGGCTGAGCGTCATCTGCTGCGAGATATATATCACCACAAGGTATGTTCAATCACTCTGAGCGATGTATGATTTCTAAAATTGGCATAGTTATCGTCATTGTACTGTGTTTCTTGAGCTCTCTACAAACCCCGCCGAGACCTCCGTGCGGCACGCTAAAATGTTTCAAACGTTTCAGATCTTGTGCCACACGTGTTGCATCGGCCTCATTAGCCGAATGGACTCCCAGTGTCTTTCAGTGTGTCGCACGCCGTGCCGCAGACCGGTGAACACGTGACGGGACGGCAGGTGGGCGGCGGGCGTGCTTGATGCTCATGAGAATCGCTCGTCGTCACTCAGGGTGACGGCCGAATGATTCAGGTCGCCGCATATCAATAGCGGTAGTTCATGTTCATTCATTGGCCATCTGGTCCTAACGAATTTATCTGCTGCGTGGAACATGTGTAGCGGCCTTTATACTAGCGCCGCCCAAGACGTCTGTTTCTTCAGACGTGTCAGACGTGAGCTTGGTTGTGACATTCCGCCACGAAAAGAATGATGAAATGGTGAGCTTACCCGGCGGCGACGAAGCGCGCGCCAGCGAATCATCGCGCAGCCGGCACTGCAGCTAGTTCCGTTTATTGCCCGGGCACGGCGTTGCGACCGCAAACGTTCCTGGCCTCTCCGGGTGTGATACAGTTCCTAGAGCCGACACGTCACGTGGCCTCGGGCAACACCGGCGCTATCTCCCCCCCCCCCCCTGCGGCTACCGTCGGCGAGGACAGATGCGTTACGTCCGCAGTGGTGCGCGGAACTGTGACGGGTCTTCCGGTCCGGTTTCGGCTGAGGCCAAGCGGCCATATCCAAATTATGCAACATGGTGCAACACCGCACGCGTCAGCGGTGCCTGTGAGACGTGAGCAGAGGATAATTACGGGCTTGCGTCGGCTGAAACGTTCGTGTTAAGGTTTGCAAACATTGAGCATGTCTTTGACAAAACTCACAGCGGCTCTCACGTCACGCCGCAGCTATTATGGGTAGGCCTGTTGGGCTCCATTCGGATATGTGAGTTGTGATGCTGAGCTGCGCGTCGATCTTTGGTGAATGCCAGCGGCGTGGCGCGCCTATAATGCCCCATATCTTGTTACTTCCAAGTGTCGCGGCTGCCAGCGCCAAATGAAGCGATTCCCCACGCTCCACACTTGCGTGCTGCTCTCACAAATAACTGAGTCACTGCGCTGATTCCGGGAATTCTGCATGCCGCATATGTTGCGTGACTGCAGCCAAAGCCCCTATACTTGCCCACGCAGGAAAACGCAGGATGCAGTCAGAGTCCATTCAAAGGATGCGAAAGCTGCGCAAACTAAAAACAAAGTGATCGCTTCAGGAGTCGTCTTTTCTGATCGCACGCTCAAACTCACAACAAAGCACGTGTAAAACTGCGTCTTTTCTCCTCATTCGGTTTGAAGGCGCGTTCGTGTGTATTCTCTGTTTTCCTTCTTTTAGGTCCCGCTTTCCCGTTTAAATTAATGGTAACGACTGTCTGAGGACCACACATGGGCTTGCTTGTTCCATAAGCTGGGTATGTGCCCGAAGCTCATCCAGCTAATATAGTAGTGCCCATCCTCATTCAATTTGAAGACATTTTTATTTTTCAGTCATAACGAAACACGCGAAATGGGCGTGGGCCTATGTTAGCGTTATTTTTTGGGAACATATGTGAATAGTGATGCCATGCCTTCTCTGTTTATTCGGTGTCTGCCACTGGCATGCGTTACCCTTTGCGCTGTAACAAGTTAACAAATTTGGGCACTTACACAGGCCCTGCGATGCAAGCGCCAGAGTAGTACTCTCATTAACGACGCTTTTCATGCGTTGTTGCCGGGGAAAGCGTAAAAGCGACAATATTTTGGGTACCCGGGTTTTGGTGGGGCGAAGACCGGGTCTGTGCAGTCGTATTTTTATCTCGTTAAAAAAACAACAATAGAAGACTTCTTCAAATGGTCCAGCTCGCTAAGGAGCGGTGCAAACAATGAACGAGTGGGAGCGATGCAAACAACGAACGGTGGTGCGACCAATGCATACAATGCACGTCACATAGCTGAACCTACGTTCTAACATACTGGCTGCTATGTTCGATCTGATCTCGCCGGCCAAGCGCAGAAGGGACGGACCTCACGCCGCACTCTGCGGGAGTGAGTGCGTCACGTCTCAGGCTGCCCCCGCCGCGTCCGCTTCAGACACTCGCTGGTCCCGTCTGCGGGTTCAGGTCCGACGACGACTGTCTACGTCCACCGTCTACGGCGCTGGAGCGTGGAGACGATCTAGGCCAGGGCCGGGGCTCCTGGAGCGCTGTGACCGTGTGCCAGGGAGGGGGGGGGGGGGAGGGAGCACGCGCTCCGTGTGATCGGCCTCAGGTGTCACCGCCGTCGCGGGCGACAAAGTGACATGCACATACAACAAGGTGAAATGCACATGCAGCAAGGTGACATGCGAACAGAGGTCAAAGGTGCCGCACGATTCACGTTTTGGTGAGGAAGAGGAAGTCAGGCACACTTCTGCAATTACTTTGTCGGGCTGTTCACAAGTGTCGGCCTGGAAATATCGCGTGCAGTTTGTTTGGTGCGCCTCATTATCATGGGAACAAACAGCGTTCAGCTCTCCCTGACGCCGACGCTCTGTTTACCGTGCCGTCCTGCGGCGTGCCTAGCGGGCGCCCACTGAGCCCGCGAAGCCCCAGGCCGCCGGCGCCTCGCCCTCCGTCCCGCGACAGGAGACGGCGCTGTAACGGACGGACTCCGGCCGCGCCGAGGATGGGAGCGGAGGCCGGGGCTGACCGGCTCGGTCCGGAGCTCGGCGCCCAGCCAGCCACTACCGCGACCCGGCGGTCAGCGGGGGGGGGGGGGGGCGCCCCGGGATTGCGTCCGGTGCCATCTGCGACGAAGCGAGGCAGCGGGCAGCGACTTTCCAGCGGTCAGCGACGCTAGCCCACGGCGCTGCTCAGATGCTGAGGTTTGCAGCTCAGTCGAGGCGCCCACTTCCAAGGGTAGCGATACGCTGTCCTGCTGCCCCGTTGATCCGTTGTCATCAACGTATACCCGCGCGTATGCTGCTTGCTTTCGACCGGTCGGTGACCCGCGGGCAGTCCGAAGCACGTGACGTAATTTTGCTAGTTCCAAGCGAAGTGGGGCGCTAACCACATCACAACCGTATGAGCAGAGCCTTTCACTCCAAACACTGCACGAGATAGTACTCTCAGAGCGGTGAGCGCAGCACCCCAGCCGGCTCGCCGGTCACCCACAGCCCAGTGAGGAGACGGCAGTGCCACAGGAGCCGGACGTGACTGTGGCCGAGCTCACCCAGCCACAGGAGCCGGACGTGACTGTGGCCGAGCTCACCCAGCCACAGGAGCCGGACGTGACTGTGGCCGAGCTCACCCAGCCACAGTAGCCGGACGTGACTGTGGCCGAGCTCACCCAGCCACAGACACGGCCGCGCCGCGCCGCGCCGCGCCGCGCCGCGCCGCGCCGCCGCGCCCAGGGTCGGCCTGGCCAGCAGTCACGCCGGGGACCGCATTGGGGCCTGCGCTATCGATCGGCTGTGTCCCCAATTCACGTCGGAGTCGACACGGGGATCGAAATGGTGCAGTAAGCGTCCGCGTCGGTTGCAGCCTGCTGCCGGCTGGCACGACTTCGCAGTTGCGTCATGCGAAGCTAAATCGGCCGCGACGAAATAAGATATTATCCATTTTCTGTCGGGACATTATGTTCCCATTTTGCGTGCCTTTCGTTGCGTGGAGAATGCCTTGTATGTTTTGCAGCTTCCCGCTATCGTCGAGTGATCTCATACGGCACATGTGCTTGTCGTAATCCAAAAAAGGTGGCTCCGGGCGGCTCGCATCTGGCTCAAAAGCCTCCGCAGTGGCCGCTGGTGCGTACACCACGCCTATTATGGCGTCAAGTCGTTGTGACACTAACAATCAACATTGCTACGTGACCGTCTCCTGATCCAGTGACACGCTGCTGCCGCGAGAAAGCCAGCCGGCGGTAAGCGTTGCCCGGAGCATCGGGTCTGGTTAACCGTTTGTCAGACGTGACGAAGTGGAGCCCATTAACCTATTTCTCGGTGCTCATTTTTCTGGCGGTCGTTCGAAGGCTCTGTACAAAGTAATAGCTCGACCACAAGCGCCCAGTTAAGTGCGCTAGCCTTGGCAATGCAATTACATTGGGTGTACGGCCATCGGCAAAACAGAGGGCCGTGGGACTCGCGTTCTTGCTTTGACCACATCAATGAAATGTCGGCATCGAAAGCGTATAAAATAGCGGCGAAACGCTGCCCAGCCACTACGTATGTTGGCCCGAGGCGTTTTTCAGTGAGAGCATCTATAGTTAGCGGAGACTAACAAACCAGAAGTGGTTCGGTCTTCACGCTGGACTCCCGAAGCCCCCCCCCCCCGCCCCGAGGCGTGCAAACAATATCATCCGAGGCTCTCAGCGAAGCGTTGTCTTTTTTGTCCCCGCAAGCAGTGTACTCACTACTATTGTCTTTGTATTGATGAGTAGGCCGCTTTTACTTTCTAAGGATAGCTAATATTTACGATTGCTGTATTTGAGGGTGCTCATGAGGCTCCTAATGTAGACGCGACCAAATACTGCTTTCGGTCCGTTTTCACTCCCAGTATGCCTTTGATCAGCAGTACATCCGGTCTGTCCTAGAACATTACGTTATTGGTTATCACGCTCTTCAAGCGTCCCCAACAAATGAACGCACGTAAACAGCAACCCTCGTTTTCGGTTCAAATGACAGTAAATAGCCCGCAATGGTCCCCTCCACTGATTTGCATAAAGCGCTCGTGACCTCTGTGACGTAATGTGGCGCACCACCTGCGAGGGCGACGAGGACAACCAACGCCAGTTGGTCCCGACACGACGCACACTCCAGGCGGGCTTTGCTGGATGGTTCGATCTGTTCCATGCATAACTTGGATAGTGTCGTGGTTTCTAGCGAGCTGACGGCGAAAAGGCCTAGCCTAGGCCTGGGCCTAAAGGCCCAGCAAAAACGAATTTTGCTGGCGTGTTTCGAAGTGTTTCCACGCAAACGGAGTGATCGACGCCAACGCGTGCATTCAACGGTGTTTCCCACCAAGGCCGTTGGACTTTCTCTCGTGGCACAGGACGTCGTGCCAGTGCTGGACGGCTTGCGGGCTCTCACGATTGATTAGAACACCAGCTGCTCCTTCTGCATCCGCGGCAGGTTTGGTGGGACCGCTTGGCCTTCGCTGGCCTGGAACCTCCATCAGGCCGGGCCGGCGTGGGACCTCCATCGGACCGGGCCGGCGTGGGACCTCCATCGGGCCGGGCCGGCGTGGAACCTCCATCAGGCCGGGCCGCCGTGAGACCTCCATCAGACCGGGCCGGCGTGGGACCTCCATCAGGCCGAGTCGGCGTGGGACCTCCATCAGGCCGGGCCGGCGTGGGGCCTCCATCAGGCCGGGCCGGCGTGGGACCTCCATCAGGCCGGCCGACGCTCCGCTGATCCGGCGCGCTCGTTCACAGGGCGAACAAGCACATCTCGGGCCGCAAGCGCTTCCGTCTGTACGCGCTGTACGCCTGGGGCCTGCCGCTGCTGATGGCCATGCTGGCGCTGATCATGGACCTGGCGCCCGGCATCGACAACTGCAGCGTCATCAAGCCCGCCTTCGGACGCTATCGCTGTCTCTTCCAGAGTGAGTGCCGAGGAAGGCCGTCGGTGGAGCGTGCACAGCCCGGGCTCGGGTGGCGATCCAAGCATGTGCAGATGCTGACGGCTTCACATATACCTTTCATGTTCGTGGAGAACTCTTAAGCGTGCGCTGTTATTGTACCGACGCCATAGGTGTGATGTGTGCGCTGCTTGCCGCGCCCGCGATCCCGAACTGTGTGGCTCCTGGAGGCATTTGCCGTTGGAAGTCTGTTGTAGCGATCGGACGCGTTGCGTCAGCATATTGTAACACGGTTGATCTCAGATTGGCCCCGAACGCCGACGATCGTATCCCACCGATTCAGTGCCAATATAAGGCCACGCCATGTGTGACCGCGCCCCGTTGGTGACCGTTGTGGTGACTGCTGGCCGGACCCTCAGACCGGAAGGCGTTCATCGCGTACTTCTACATTCCGATCGGCGTGCTGCTCACCATCTGCCTGGTGCTCTACATCCTGACCGTGAAGAACCTGAGCGTGCCGAGCAAGATGCCCGGCAGGGACGCCTCCACCGCCAACATGAGCATGAGCAAGCAGTACGCCAAGCAGACCGGCAAACGGTGCGTGATGCCGGGGCCGGGCCGGGCCGGCTCGGTCGGCCTCGAAATGCAGAGCAGTGGGGCGGGCGCTGGCTCCCCTCAGCATGAGTTTAGCGGGGCAGGGACGGGCTCAGCTGACATCAGCTATGACAATGTCGCATGCGCTGCGTGAAACCGTCAATTAAGTAAGCAGGGGCCGGCTGTCGATGGCAGTCGCGTGCTCCCACAGGCGCCGCCATGTACCGCGGGCCACGACAGGGCTGAAGACAGGCACTGTGTGAAGGCTGACAGCTACCCTGAGACAAGACGAAAGCGCTCGGGCTGTGGAGTTGCCGTGTTCGAGGGGCGGGGAGGGGGGGGGGGGGACCACCGGAGTAGGAGTGCTGGACAGTTGGCAACGCCTTTACTGAGCATGACGCACGTTTCGGGATGCTGATGAATGCATAAACTTGTTGAAATGTTTGTTGATCTTAAACATCGCGCGGGTTCAGATGTTTCGTTTGGCTGGCGCAACCATGCCAGCAGTCCGTCCTACCAGAACTCGCAACCATGGTGGGTGAACACTTCCCGGACCGTGGCTTTAAAAACACTTTTTAAAAAATAACTCGGGCTCATGCGCCTTCACGCTGTAACATATGTGGTTTCCGTCAATTCAGGCGGAAGCTGTGCGCCAAGCTGTTTCTGATCATGGGCATCACCTGGGTGGCCGAGCTGCTGTCCTATCTGATCGGCGACAGCGTCGTCTGGTACTTCTTCGACGTCATCAACATTCTGCAGGTGGGTGCGGTGTATCGCTTTAGCACACAGAACAGTTACATCGCCTTTGCCCAGACTCCCCAGAAAGCGCTATTGTAAGCATGGGCCGTCACACGTGTAGCACGCAGCCAACCTAAGCTGGGCAATTAGTTTAAAACTAAACCGTGCAAGACGACGCCTAAGTGTCACAGCAAAAAGCATCATCCATGTGCCGCTAACGTTCTTGGCACAGCCAGCGGAGGTAGTCATAATCGCCAGTCTCCGACGGAGGAACATCTCGTCCTCCGTTGTCAGAGCTTGACGACACAGTTTGTGCTCGGTAAATGTCCGCGCATAAAAACGCTGGTGCCCCTGCCCTGCCCTGTGAGTGCCCTGCGGTTCGGCCGCCGGGTCCCATCACGACTCCCCACTGCCCGGCTGACGCGCATGGCTGCGGCAGGGCTTCTTCATCTTCGTGGCGTTCATCCTGCGGCCGAAGGTGCTGCAGTACATCAAGAAGACGGCGCTGCAGTCGCTGAGCCGCTCGTTCGGCCACGAGTCCCAGCAGGACAACGGACAGCCGCAGGGGCGCGGCGCCGGCCCGACCGACCAGGAGCCGGCCGGGCGCGCCGGCCAGGGTTGCCCCTCGCCCATGACGATGAGCACCCGCGCCACCAGCGGGCGCGGCCCCGGGCCCGCCGGCGAGCCGTAGAGCGCCGCGGCCACGACGAGGGCGGCGCCGCGGCCGCGTGCTCGCGGCGAAGAACACTACACAGACTGGCCAGGAGGGTCCAAGACCAGGGGTGACCATACGCGGTTCGGTGAAGACGGCACCCGGCTTGACAGTGGACCTGCCTGTTGAGCGCATCAGCCGACCACGTCAGGGCACCCGGTCCACCTTCGCACTGGCTGGCCTGAGCCAGTGTCGGTAGGCAGCATCGGCGACGAAGTACCATCTCTCGCAGGCGTTGCAGTGGGTGAAGATAACGACAGCACTGCCCACTGGCGACCGGCGGGCGGGCGAGGCCCGCAGCGCAGCGACCTCGCTGCAGCGGCGCGGGGTGTGGCGACTGCGGATGCCTCATCGGTGTGTGTCGGCCAGGTCGTCAGGCGTGTGTCGGCTGGCACTCGCCGGCACGTTGACGGGCCTTCCCTGACGGCGACGGGGGCCGCCGGGCCGCACGGACACCAATCTCTCGCGCTGTGAGCGGCGCTCGGGACCGCGACGAGGTCCGGCTGACGGTGGTCATCACTCTCCACGACTGTGCGCCGACCGGCCGGCCGCGGGCGGCGCGTGGTGGCTTGACGACCACGTAGTGCTGTGGGGTCCTGGCACCCCCTGCGCGGCATGTGCGCAGCTGTGCTTACGGACGCCGGTGCACCGTGACGGTTTGGGCGATTGTGTGCCATGTTCTCACGGCCAGGCTGGCGTTCTGCGCCGGTGATGGAAGCGGCTGTCCGGTGAGGTCACGTGGCGAGGAGACCGACTGCTGTCACCAGTGGTGCTGCGCTGACGCGCGTTCCCGTCTACGTTACAGCGCGTCACCTTGCCGGGCACGGCGGTGCTGCCGGCTTTAACCTGTCCTGTGCTCTGCTGATTAAATGCTATGCTGTTGCCGCGAAAGGTGTTTCGGCTTGGGCGATTACCTACAGATTGCTACTGAGGTCAGGGTAGGCCGGCGGAGTTTCATCTTCTGACGCCCAGTCTTCATCTCATGGTCTCAAGGACAAAAGCGGAGATAGGAACACTGCCCATGATTGGCATGCCCTTGACGAAGCATGCGGGCGGTTTGGTGATTTTGTTTTGCTGTAAACCAGTCATGCATTGTACAGTTTTAGACTACTGTACGCGTCGTCGGTCGGACGCCACCCCTCCGCATTGCCAAGCATTGAGCAGATCATTCGCGATCGCGTTACGCGTGAGTATGCCAGATGCCCAACGTTGTCGATGTTAGGATAGACGGACCATTGCTGGTCGTAAGCGGTACTGCTTGAACGAGGGGTGAACAGTGGCTTACCTTGGACCGTTGTTGGATACATTTGGTTTCTGATGCCCTGACTGGCATGGCTCCAAGAAACGCGTCAAAAGCATGCGCATTGCCAGTAGCTTTGTATCTTTCCCTCGAAAGAAGGGGCTTGAGCGAAGACAGTGTTGTTCGTGGCTTTGTGTTCGAGCTCTGCCTACTGTGCCATATCAGTCACTTCGCAATAAAATGAAAACTGTCGTTCTGTTTGAAATTCTGCTGACTGCTACCTGAAACGGTCATAGCATATTCTGGCCATACAACACTGAAGTCGCTGCATGAGTGAAACCTGGCAACCGCGCAGATGACCACGAAAAAGTCTCGCGACTGCCGATTCACGGGCGGCGCCTGCTGCGCGTGCGCGTGCAGACGTGGGTGGCGGACGGTGCGTCAGCCGCGCCGTGCGGCGGCGGCTCCCGCGCGGGGCGTGTCGCGCCGGGACGCTCCCAGGAGGCCGTTTGATCGGCGAGGAACGCAGAGATCATCGCACGCGGCATACGCAGCGACGTTCAGAATCGAATCGGCTGCCTCGGCACACCGCCGGGGGTGCACCGACGCCACGCGAGATTCGTGCTTCACAACGCCGATAAGCGGGGGTTCGACACAACCAGTTCTCTCCAAGATTCTACTGTCGCTGCATTGTCGTGTTTCGCTAATGCAGTCCGCCGTGATGGCCGGCGCACGTGACACCTGCTTGCAGTGCAACCCCACGTGGAAGTCGGCCATTGATTAACGGCGCCAAGGGCTGTAACGCCACTCGCCCCACTGAAGAGTGTGGGGGGGGGGGGGGGGCTTTAATATAACCTCACAAATGATCAGCACGAACGGTCGTGTTACGAGCCCAAGCCCCACGTCACGTCTGCACGTCAGCGTCATGTGCTGATGAATTTGGCACCACTGATCACGAGCTGATCAGTCTAACACCACTGATCATCAGATGACTAATCCGCCACCACTGACCATCAGATCCGTCACCACCTATCATCAGCTGATTAATCCGTCACCACCTATCATCAGCTGATTAATCCGTCACCACCTATCATTAGCTGATTAATCCGTCACCACCGATCATCAGCTGATCAATCCGTCACCAGCTATCATCAGCTGATTAATCCGTCACCATCTATCATCAGCTGATTAATCCGTCACCACCTATCATCAGGCGGATCAATCCGTCACCACCGATCATCAGCTGATCAATCCGTCACCACCTATCATCAGCAGATCAATCCACCACCACTGATCATAAGCTGATCAGTCCGCCACCGCTCTGCGTGTCGCCGGATGCTCATGTCGGGAACAGAAAATCGTCGAGACTGGCACACCAGGCCGCTGCTGTTGGAAACATCACAGGAGCTGTGCAAGGCGGCGTTCAGAGGCCAACATGCATGCTGCTTGCGAACGTCCCACGCAGTCGTCTGTCATCGTTTGTACAGCCGACAAATTATCAGGATACGACGCTTCAGGGAACTGAGCCCAGAGCAAACAAACGAACCGGTCTGTTCAAAGAATACGATATATTTGCACAGGTGAACAACGGTCATGACAAATTTGCACTTTCAATGGAAGAAGCGGTATCAGCCACAAACACTAATAAAGCAAGGAGGGCACATGCCATTACCTGGTGGCATCACACCACAACACCAAAACAACCGTTCACCCACAATGTGCATTGCACGCCAACGCTGCCTGCCCTACAATCACATTTTGATCTGGAGTACATGCATTCGCCCATGTTGGTCTCTGGATAACCCCTCCCGTCTCGGTAGCTCAGCTGCAGAAATATTAATGTATCGCATTCATATTTCTACGGCCTTTTCAGCAATTCCTGCCCTACCATCTAGTTGCAAATGAAAACTGGTCCATCTTAAAGCAGCACGGCTTCCCCACGGTGTGGCGTTAATCTGCCGCTCCCCGCTTCCTTGCAACAATGCCTTGCTCGTTTCGCCCGTGGCCGTCGGATGCGGCACTGCCGTAAGCTGTGGGACATCCTGGGCCAGGTGGGTCGTTTGTGGGGACGGACGTCGGATCCAGGGGAGCTGTAAGGCTGTCCTCCGGCGCGGCAGTAAGTCTTCAGTATACACGCATGCACGCAGGGCGACAAAGGTGACTTCTCTGGCAATGTTGCCGGTGAACTGTGCGTACACCAGCGTACATCCCAATCCTCTGCCCCCTCCCCCCCCCCCCCCCGTGACCTGCCGATCGGCCTCCTCTCCGTGGGCAGCGACGGCGGGTCAGCCGCGCAGGACGCTCGCCAACCTGCCGATCGGCCTCCTCTCCGTGGGCAGCGACGGCGGGTCAGCCGCGCGGGACGCTCGTCACCGCAGGCGGCCGTCCCACCCCTGTCCCCGTCTCCGTCTCCGACGCACGCGGGCGCCCGACCTACCCAACGTGTGGTGCTCTGCCGGCCGGCTCGACGGACGGCTGCAGCAGCCCCTCGCCCTACGGACAGCAGGAGCGCGCCGCGAGCCCCGGAAGACGGGCCACGTCGGCCAGCTCAGCCCAAGCACGTCTTGAAGGTGTTGAGCACGGCGTCCCGCGCGAACGGAATGTACGAGATGGAGTACCAGGTCATCGCCAGAAACTCGATGATGCAGAAGATCAACACCAGTCCCTTCTTGCCCAGCTGCGGAGCACATGGGGCGAGGCTCAGCGCAGCTGAACAGAGGATTTCCCGGCGTTATCGCAAACATCGAGGTGTTCTGCACTCTTTGGTTTGGTTAGTATTGCTTCCTACGCAGTGTTTCATTTCCCATCAGGATGACAGCTGACAGCTGACACATCGTCACTGGGACAGTATTTCACACGTGAAAACATGACATCCCGTGGACACGTGAAAAAATAACGACGAAAACCACGGCATTGCATACATCAAACTGAAACATCTAAGACGTTCAAAGCAGTGGGAACAATGATACACTCACAGAGACGTCACGAGGAAAGCTCACCCATAGCGCGCGGAAGAGAACGTCTTGTCGCATGTGGAACAACAGTTTTTTTTTGCCCCAGATTATTGACCCCGCAAGGAACGGCGTGTCGTCAAAATACAAAACCTGATCGTTTGCCTTCGATTATAATGACCTTTAAGGCTCCGCACTCACAGACGAAGGTTTGATTAGCGTTAAACAATTCCTCAGATAATTTGCGCAACATGTGATTTTCGGTTTAGTCCTGATCCCTAAAGCACATCTGCTCACAGACAGACACCTAAAACGGCCAATATGACGTGCAAAAATGCCGCATTTCACCGCTCCAGCTCTGGCTGGCTTTTGGGTGGCGCCTGCTGCGACGTCAGGCAGGCGAATGAACTGGAACGAGCGCTTTTAGCTCCCTTATCTATGCAGATATTTCACGACCTCTAACACTTAAATACTTAAGCACAGTAATTAAGCCCACAGCAAGCAAGCTATATGAAGCTGTTTGCAGAAGTTCGTTCCCTGTCCCGGTTACCTTGGCTAACGGCCTCATACGGCGATGGTACATTATACGCAGCCCATCATCATCATCCGTGGTGGGAAAGAGCTGCATTTGCTGGTGGACACGGTAGAATGCTGCCATGCAGCCCGGGTGTGGGTCTAGGAAAAATGAAAACAATTGCGCCCCATTTCACGTTACAAATTTTTCACAACCGATCAAAACCATATTTTTCACTTCAAGGACAGGTGCTTCTGAAATTTGACTACTTGGCTTGCAGTTGTACCCTGGTTACATTGTGTCATACCAGGGGACAGGAGAGACCTTATTGAAAAGCAATAACGCCGCTCCCTATTCATAGCAAGCACGTCCCGCTCCAAGCTTGAAGGAATCCATGCTCAAAAAGCATGAAACAAGATACAGGCTCACATCCCGTTGGTGATAGGCACTTAAAGGGAGTAGTCCACATTTATGTGGGGGTTTTTATCTGAAATAGTCATCTTGAAGACACTTCGGCGCTGTTCACAACCCTGCTTTTCTTAAGATCTAAGCCCCTTTAGTTTCTGAGGTACACGCACAACAAACATGGGGAGAGTATTTCGGGGGGAGCATTTCAGTCTCCTTGGCATTCGTGGCGTCATAATAACGTTATTCAAGTCCCGACATCTTATAAGCTATGCGGCGATCAAAGCCAAACAAATATAATTGTCGAGGCGTTCATATCTGGCGTTTGTGGGGACCACTGCCAGACAAAACGACCGTCAATTGGCTCTCAATCAATGTTGTGCACGGTGCGGTGACGTAATCAAACCATGAGGAATTGAAAAGTATACCTTAAAGAGGGAATTGTGCTGTCAAGAGTGGTCTTTTCCACTTAAGCGGCATACCAACAGCAATAAGCGAGTTTGTTTTATCATATCTGATGCTTGCTTCAACATCTTCAAACGTGAAACATTCCCTTCAGGGCGCCGATCCCCGGTTTCTATGATTCGCTTTAATAAAGTGACCTTACTGCGGCAGCGACGGCAACCACAACGGAGATAGCATACCGTGGCGGCGACTATACGCACTGGTGTGACGGCCAGCGGGCGCAGCGGCCATGTTGAGCGTGGCTGGGCCGAGGACTCACCGCTGCCGCGACGATGGTGAGCACGATGGAGATGAGCACCACCACGGTGGCGATGGCCCGCGTCTTGGCGAACATGTTGCGGATCTGTTTGACCGGTCCCATGAGGAACAAGGTGCTGGGGACACGCAGCGCAGTCAGCGGGCAGTGATCAGCTGACGCGGGTCACGAACCGAGCCGCCCCGCCCAGCGAGGTATTGACCAGCTGAGGGTAGCCACCCTGACCAGAGTTCAGGCCACTTGGACAGCCGAACACTGACGATGATGACGACATAACTTGTCTTACATGCAGCGAGTCACATCATCCAGCGACATAATGGTTTGAACGATGCGTTCTTTACATCCAGATGCACCTGTGATAAGCAATCACAGAATACTCTGGTCTTGGAAATGAAATGCGCCCACAGCATGTGCGGTCTAGGAAATCAAAGGAACATGCAAGGCATTTGCAACCATCCTGGCAGACAGTATATATGCGGAAAAAAACAAACAGACAAAAAAACAATGACAAGTAGTCTTACATTTTTAACTGGGTATTGCATCAAGCAAGAACATCCAATTTTTCCAACGGGCATTTTGCCTTTACCTTGCCATTGCTGTGATGTTTCCAATGGTGTACAGAATGCAAAAGATCACGATGCCATTCTTGAACCAAAACAACACGGATCCAAGTAGGGAGCAGACTATTCCAGTAACGAAACAGATGACAAATCCTGTCAGCCGTGTGCTCCAACTCAAAGTGGACGAGCCTACGATCTGAAATGAGGCAATTGCGTAAAACATAAGTTAACAGAATATCCCACTTTTCCGAGCTGAGTTCTTGCAGGCGATACGATTGTAGTTAAAACGTATTCTAAAAATGATAAAATGAAATAACTGTAGATGAGCTAATAGTATTATGACACAAACTATCAAAACGGGTTGTGAAACCTTAGAGCATGCTAAACGAAAAGCGTGCATCGTTTCTACTCAACGTGAAGGTAATTTGAAATGAGGTCCATCAGCAAAGTCCACTTAAACACGCGCCCGGGTGCTGGTTGGATACTTTTTGCTCGGGTGGGGGTCAATTTGACCCCCTGAGATCTCAGCAACCAAGGAAGCTAGATATACCACTTTCACAGGGTGCGTTGGCCTGTACATGAACTCACTTAGGTCAAACTTTGGCATTCCTAGGTCACAACTTATGGATCAAGCAAGGTCAAACAAGGTCAAACTCCACATTGGTCTCCAAAATGTTCCCAGAACCTAGATACCCGTTCTAATCGCAAGGTCACGCGCTCATTTAAGGTTCGTGACCTTGTTTGACATTTTAAAGGTCATGATGACCCAAATAATACAAGACTGTTTTGAGTTTTGCAATCAAATAAGTGACAAAGGTTGTGCTAGGCAGTATGTTCCTAAAAACAAAACATTGACTCAGGTCATTTCAGGTCAGTGACCTATCTTGGCCTTAAAGAAGTTCATGAAAGGTGTATAATGTGGCTTTTGTTATCAATGAATTCAAAATGAGCACCAGAAACTGCCCCATACAGCAAGGTCTGGAGTAATAAAACGAGTTGGTTTCGACCCTGGTATGACCTTCATACCTGGCCCTAGGTCACCGAAATTTGCTCATTCAATCGTTGTGTTGCTTCAGAAAGTATCTCAGAGATGTATGGCTTCGGCTAACACTCCATTGTTGCATCAGATTCAAAGATACCCTAGAAATTGATTTCACTGAATACATGGCCTGACTTTGACCTGCCGTAGGTCAGCGACCTTACGAGGTACATTTAAGTTTTTTAATACCAAACGACCCGCTATTCAAATTGTCCACAACTATGCAAAATTTGGTACCGCTACGCCACGCCGTTCAGAAACCATTCCGGAAAAAAACTTCCAGGGGTCAATTTGAACCCCCCCCGCCCACCGCCCCCACCCGAGCGCGTGTTAATTCCTGCACTCTGATCGATGTTTCAGCCGCGGATTTCAGGTTTCTATTCCTATCAAAATCCAAGTGCACAAAAATGCTCCTTACGATTTGAGATAAACAGGCCACAGGAAAGGTCATTGTGAAGCACTACGCATGCCAAATAAAATGGCAGATGATGTGTCAGCTCTTACTTGTGTGTAGAAACCAGTCTCTTCATCTGGAGTTTCGTTTTCACGACCAGTAAGTGCCCTCTTCAGCTTATCCATGCCTAACAACAGCAAACAATCCTTGAATACACTTTGTAAGCACTGATCACATATTTAACAATATATAACATGCAAAACAAAAACCTTACACCACACCTAACACAACATACCCCAGATAATGCAATTTAACATCATTACATCTATCCAGGAAAGTGACCCCAAAGTTCATTTTGTCAGCATACACAATACCTGTGGGCCACACACTGCTTTTGTCACAACACCAGGTGATCAGTAGACATCAAGATATCCTCAATCAGGGCTGTCTACCACAGGAACATGTTCCAGGGCAAGGGCAGCCATGTTCCCCTAGGGAAACACAAACTGTGTTCCCTAGCTCCAAAAAAGAAAAGGCTTTCTAGTCATAAGCTGTTCTGCCAGCTCCACTGGCAGCTGCTGTCTACTACAGTAAACTGTCTAATATCTCTTTGTCAGCTAGAAACAAACCATGAAAATAATTATTTGCAAACTTAAATCAAGGCATAACTATGCACCCACTCTCTGATAATCTGGACCCCTGCTTCAAACTACAGTCTTCAGGTATCATGCTCTGTCTTCATTCACTGTTCTCACACCCTACCTATTCCCTGAAGCTTCACTTGGGTGCTCATCACCTACTCAAAGCAGATAAAAGCAGTTTTAATTGCTACATATCCCGATGCTAAAAATAAGTTTTACAGAGACCACACAGGATCAATGTCCTTCCTAACCATGACCTTTAGTAAAAGTACTTCCCATCACTCCAGTAGAAAAACTGCAGTTCAAAGGAGAAGCATATACACATGAGAAATTGGTAACTCAGATGTAACTCAATTGTAACTCAATTGGTAACAAATTGGTAACTCAGATGAACAATATTGCCTCACACATGGCCTTTGCAGACATGTTTTATGGTCTCATGATCCGTAATAAATATCCCTTGCCAGCTTGACTCTCTTAGCCAAACAATCCAGGTCAGAAGGGGTGGTTTGGATGCACAACAATCATGAGGCAAACCATCTAAAAGCTTAACCAACTTGTATTTGAAATGGGCATTTCACTAATTTTCAAGTTATAGGGTTTTTTCTTAAAATGCTTCTGTGCCAACTGTGCTCTATCTCCCAATTTTCACCAAATGTCCATGGATAATTTTGTTCCCATGCTACATGTCCCATAACAGATGAGGTCCCACTTGCATTATCTGCTATAAAATAGTATGACCTTATTCCAAGTTACCCTATAAATATCACTTAGTAGCAATCATATGCCACAATTACAAAAGTGTAACTGTATTTCCAGACACAATGATAATTGATTTCCTTTGGTAGCCTGAACTTGAGCTGCTACTGCTGATGGCAGAACTATCAGGATTTGCAACAAGAATTGTTTTTATCTTCTTGATGGGAGACAGCCTTTTTACAAGGGTTACAGCCACTTAAAAATGTGTAAAAACTACAACCAGACTAGACAGCCTAAATGGCTCAAAAAATGCTAAAAGGTAAAGAATGTTGGTTTGCCCTGGTGCCTTAAGCAATAGTCATAGCTGCATACTATATACATTTACTCAGGTATAGGCTGATTATGACAGATAAACTGCACTCACACATAGAGAGGGGTGAATCCTCATAAGTGCTCTTTAGCACCCTTGAGCCCCCTGCAGCTCCAGGCACTAAGGTGCACAAAATTTATAGACCTAACCACATGGAAACATGTTGTTCCCTATATTTCTAACAATTCAAAAAGAGCAGCCAGAAACAATGGCAGCAAAAACCCACCTTGGTTATTACCCTTAGGGCATCACCAGGTTTCCTTCAATTGCAGGAATATGGCGAACCGCCTCCCTCAGACTCATATATCATATAATTCAGGTGACACTATTAGTGGCAGGTTTGTATCTTTTTTAATGAAACAATAGTCTCCCAAACACTTAGTTTTGGAAATGAACAGACACAAAGTTATGGAAATGCTTAACCACTTACACATGCTTTGATTATCTGACTTCATGGTAAAGCAATGACAAATTATGCTGCATTGCCAACCTATATCCTACATGTGAAGCATTTACTCTGCATTAACACCAAAATGATACAAAGGTCTGCACTATGTAGAGATGGCTCCCAAGGTAGGGATTGCATTATCCAGAATGACTTACTAACTTTGATATGCATGTATCTCAGCTCCTTTTTGACAGATACCTATTATTTCCCCACAAGATGTTTGCACATGCCATGTCACATGTCACACATATCATGAGCTGAAAATGCAAGTCTCAAACTTATTGCAGCTGTTAACATTGAAACATCATTGCTTTAACATTGAAAAAGGAGACTGATGACAAGACATGTTGTCGGGTTTACATAAAAATCGATGCAAGCACACGACATGCACATAGGACAGGCAGTCATTCTGCAAGAGGACTGATCACGAGCACCGATCGAAACCGTAACTAGGAATTTGAGATGCACCTCTCTTGTCCATCAATGTTGGACTGAATCGTACCTTAACCGATGTAATGAAAGTTCAATAGTCCAGCCTGATAAGCCTTAACAGAAAAATCCAGTTCCCTGCAAAGGTCGGGTCATTTGCAAGGTAACAGAGCAATAAATTGTTATGCTACAAGCCATAGCAGACATAAAAGACGCAACGGCGGCAAACATAGTAGTGAAACTGAGTACTATATACCTATGTACCGAGCATGATATATTGATAGGGTCTCGCTCTATTCAAACAAGTGAAACCGCAGGAAAGTACCGAAAGCGTAGAAGAAATGTTACGCTGCACTGCCCAACCGTTTAAAAATGTCACAATTTAAGTAGTACTCAGCCCAATTTTGATCGTTACATAACACAATCAAACTTGGAAAATCCGGCCCACGTTTTGAGGTCCAGCCAATATATACCCGATATTAGGGTAATAAACTCGATATATCCTGGGCTCCGGTTCGTTTTCCTGATGATTTCTCAAGCTATGTCGTGCGGCCATGCAAGATCAAGTTTAATGTAAAGAGTTTGGTAGTAATCAAGTCACAGCATAAATCAGATTCACTAATATCATAGGTAGGTCTAAGGCCTTTTTGAGTAATGTACACTAAAAGCTGAAACAATTGGTCAGGCGACGCTATTTGTCAAACTGATTGATGCACTTAACTTAAAAGGTACTCCATCTGTGAAAACTGAGATACCTAGCCTTAGGGGATGACTTGTCTTGATTGATCTACGAATGCTATCAATTCTGGCAACAAAAGAGTTATTTTTGGCTGAATCATAACTGGAAACAAACATACATTCCAAACTGATCATGATTACTCACCATTTAGAGTATTAGGTTCCAATGATCTCAAGGCAATGGCTGGGGCTGATTTTGACTAATTCTGAACCAGTTGATGTGGTGTCAGGATCATGATTCTGAGCATGTGCTTGGACCAACATATGAAATACCAATCAATAAGCTGCTTTACAGTGCATTCTTTGCATGGATATCTTTATTTATGAGTATTGTTGTGTTTATTGTGTCAATATTTGCTAAAGCATTGCCTTTCTTAAGTATGATCCCTAGCCACACACACACCAAAAGCTTTACTGTAGGAAGGTCAGTATGCAGGGAAGTATGCATGGTGGAGCCTTTTGCATGGCATTTTGAAGCACTGGCCAATGCTTTTACAGATATTTAGATGACGCAGTTGGACGCGTCCCAATGAAAACTGCTTGGGATGACCTGCCAAATTTGACAGAAGGCTAAATTGAGATGACTGTACTCTGTCAAAATAAAGCCAGCAACTTACATTTTTTTCTTTAAAAAACTTACAGGCCTTGATCATCATTACATGCTACACCACATGAGCCATGAGGCATCCCCCAACCTATACTCATTTTTTCATGCTATTGAATCTTATTCAGAGACATTTGTCAGCTAAAATTGCTCTGCAGTGCTTACAGCATTGTCTGCCTTCTGGGTGTCTGCTTCATCTGGAAGTGCCTATGATCTGTGCACTTGCATTTTACCATGCAGCAGATACTTACATGGCATTTACCTTTGCAGTGAAAAATGACTTCCCAGGCATGGAGTAAGACAAGAATCAAGATAATACTGCATACCAAGCAGCCTGTTTCTGCGAGGACATGTCTATTCAGATTTAGGCGCTACATGTCTGCAGGTAGGTCTGCAGTGCTGCTGGTGGTGTTCCCAGGTCACAGGTCACAGCATGCTGTACCATTTCTTATATGTGATACTGCTTTACTGCTCATGTAATTGTTTTTTCAAGTGTTTTGGTCCTGTTTTCTTGTTCTGAACTCTAATTTTGTGCACATGAGGTAAATTTTATCATAGGTCAGTGCAAAAACAAAAATGGCATGTTTCAAGCAAGCTACACTCTTTGGTTCAATTGCAGAGCATGATGGCAAGATCATTAATATTGGAGGTGTCAAGAAAACCCTGAGGACTCCACTCAACCCAGAGCTTGTTCCACGCATTGTGGGTAAGAGAAGAAGAGGTTTGTGCAGTGGCAGCCAGGGGACATGCTTGTGGCATCATCATCATGTTACAGGGCGGTTCTGCCCCTGCTGTCAGTCCATCTGAGCATCCACTGGCTATAAGCTGCCCATCCAGTCAGTTCCTTGATCCGGCCGCGTGCGCGCTGATTGGCTGCCCCTGATCTGTACCCAGCCCGCAACGCACGAGTGGGCGCCGTATCGGCCCTCTGGTCTTCTACCTGGTGGCATTTACTTGCCCACACTACAATTGCCAATGCCATACAGGATTCAGATGTCCTTTGTTTTTTTCTGAACATGTACCCCTAGCTGTGATGGTTAATGCATGTCAAAAATGCAGTTTTTTTTCTCCTTGAATAAGCTGTTTGTGTAACATCATTACCAGTGAGCTAGAAAACATCAACTTTTGAAATGTCAGCCGGAAAATTACCCACTGATACTGCAGTAGTGTTTAACATTAGCTGATGGGCCTACTGCATAATGCCAATTTGAATGGCTATTGGCTATATGCACTGAGAGAGGACCAAAATAGCTGAGTTTGAAGAATGAAAACTCCTTCTACGTGGGAGGTGCTGGTTGGGTTCCGGGCTGACCCTGTGGCCCTTGCCGCTGATATGACCGGTGCACTCGATAGCGTCCCGCCAAGGATTGCGCGCGACGGCGTCATGCAATCTGAAAAAAATCCGGCTCGTATCTGCCTCGTGTCGTGCCAACCTGCTCCAGATTTCGGTCTTGGTAAATCGGAAGTGCAGGGTTTGATTCTCCGCGGTACCCTCCCTTCCTGCCAGAGTGAAAGACAGGCGACACCATGTGTGGCACTGTGCTGGTCTACACGGCTGTGTAAGGTTGGTACAGCTTTCGATGTCATCACCCAGCTGGGCAGGCACTTCGCGTCAAATGGCTTCCTCCGGAAGCTCAAGAGGCCTGTTGTCCGCATGGCAGGCTTTCAAATCAGTCAAAGGAACTGAGCTAGGAGGCATTAGCATGGAGTGAGTTGATATCCAGGCCACTTCCGTGGCGTGGCTCACAAACCAGACCACTGCCTTGCCGTTCTCAAATTACGACCGTCATTCGACGAAAGCACGCATGACATTGCGGACATTTTTTTCTTGACAGCTAATAGCATGTGAGGAGGATATTTTCGCCACACCATTTTTGAGCCTTCTCCCAAGCGTCCCCTGCAGCTCTCGGTCAAGGCGAGGCATGCCCACATATCTATAGCGTGGCCATGCTATGTACTTCCTCCCATGTTCATGGGTGCGATGGGCAATATTTGCTCCGACATGGCAAGAGTCATTAGCCACTGGATTATGGGCTGGCCTTGAAGTCATGCAGTGTTTTGCCTCCGCGTACCGGCTGAAAGGCGTTGGTGTCTGGTGTTATCGCGCGGTGGCCACCGCCGAACCTGTAGCCAGGGATGCAGTGGTACGCCTCCGCGTACCGGCTGAAAGGTATCGGTGTCTGGTGTAACCGCGCGGTGTCCACCGCCGAACCTGTAGCTAGGGATACAGTGTTGTGCCTCCGTGGACCGGCTGAAATGCATTGGTGTCTGGTGTTGCCGCGCGGTGTCCACCGCCGAGCCTGCAGCCAGGGATGCACTTAACCTTAGCAATATGACTGCATGTCAGTACCTGATCAAACGCCGCAGCACCAGTCACAGCCGTCACCACGTGGCCCGTTTTGCGCTCCCTAGAGCTGTCGAGCACACAGCCGGTGCTGAGGACGCTGAAGTGGATGCTGCAGAAGGATCTGCTCGGTCAGGACATGTTCCTGATAGGGCCGCCCGGCCACCTGAGGCGCACCGTATGCATGAAGTACCTGCAGGTGAGAGCCATCGTCGCCGCGTGTGCCGGCCGTGGCGGCCTGCCTCCAGCGCAGCGACGGCTCATGGGGGAAGCGGACGCGCTCTGGTTGACAAAATGTCTGGTCTTATAGACTCGCGTCATGGTTCAATGACGTGAACGCCCTGATGCCAAAGAAAGCTGAGCCATTTGGGCGGGCGTGCTGACGCGTCATGCGACAGCCACGAGTTTGGGCAGCGATATCGCGCGTCATGCTGCCGAAGGAACTTTCATTAATTTGCAGGGTTTTCATGCGCTCAGACTCCGCCAAAAGTTATTTATTTACGACGTATTAATCCACTGTAGATTGTGCTCATCTCTAACGTGTGCATATTGCGGTACTCCTAACGAGCTTCATTTATGCGCAAACAAAACAGCCGGAATATTTGTCAGTTATGACAGATAAAGTATCGCCTCCGCCATGTACTTGTCAGAGCCCGACAAATACAAAAGAAGGCATGAAACTCGTGCCTCAAGGCGATGTCATAATTGGGTTGAGTCTCAGAGATTCCATGCTGTCTTTCCTTCGTTTTTTTCTGCCTGCCTTTCTGACCATGAGTCTTTCTGTCTGTTCTTTCCTTTCTTATTTATGTGTTTCCCTCGCTTGCACTCCCTCTATCTCCCTTTCTCCCTGTCTTCTATCCTTTTTCTCTCGCTCCCCGTCTCTCGCCCCCCATCTCTCTCGCCTCTCCGTCTCCCTCGCCCCCTATCTCTCTCGCCCCCCGTTTCTTGCCCCCCTTCGTCTTCTCCCCCCCTCCGTCTCTCTCCCCCTCCTCCCGTCTCTCTCGCCCCTCCCGTCTCTCTCGCCCCCTCCCGTCTCTCTCGCCCTCCGTCTCTCTCGCCCCTCCGTCTCTCTCGCCCCTCCCGTCTCTCTCGCCCCTCCCTCTCTCTCGCCCTCCCGTCTCTCTCTCGCCCCCCCCTCTCTCGCCCCTCCTCTCTCTCTCTCTCGCCC